GTCCTGGGTCCTTGCCTTTCTTTGGAGAAGGTAGAGGAGAGTAGATCCTGCTGATTGGACGCTGATTCATGGAGATCCCACATATGTTAGAGCAGAATTGTGATCTGTAGGATTTGCAATGACAGGTTTGATCCTCCCCTAAGTCAGTCACAAGGCCTTTCCTCTCAGACACCTCTGGGTGGTTAAATTTGCCAAACATTCATTTAGTTGAGTGTATTACTGTCTGTGTAACCATGTAGGAAGTTCTCCCAAGAGAAGTTCATGCTCACTGGAGATCCCAGGTTTGACCTTCCTTCTTATAATCCATCCTGGAATGTTCTTATTTGGTTAAAACTCTAGGCAAAGACAGTGTTTGGGCATGGGTTGCAGTACAGTCTGTCATGAGCTTTTAAATCCACAGTTGCCCACTCTTCGCCCAGACTTGGAAATTTTGATGATGTGAACACAGCTTAAGGCAGGGCAGTATGTGTTAACAAGAATCCAGGTGATTTCTAAGCTTACACAGGACTGATGAGGGACAATCATCATCCACATTAGCACCAGGCTTGTTGGTGCGTATTCTGGTTCCTACGGACCTGCCAAGGGGGATGGCTAGTGAGCATGTGCATAATCACAAGGCTGCTGATAAGCTCTGAGTTTGCGTTATGCTGATGAGGGGTGTTCAGACTCCTTTCTGTATATCCATCCTGGATATCTGAAAGTTGTGGAAGGCACACAATGCTCCTGACGTGTAGAATTTTGGATTTACCAGAGAGCTCATCCTTTATGTGCAAATATATCACTCATCTGGTCACCCCTTGTTTAGACTGTGAACACAAGACATTGAATACTAAGGCCTAAATAGGGAATCAGGATTCTATTTGACTTAATATCCAGCTATGCACCTATGACACCTGAGTCTATCCTCATTTCAGTTTTATTGCACATCTAGGATGAGGAATTTTCTAATTCTCAAGATCATTAATATTACAGAGCTCTTATTTTTTGAGATAGCCTGGTGACATTACAAGTCCCTTGCATTGACCCTGGCACAAGACATTGACACAGACATACGAAGACATGCACCACATTCTCCTAAATCTTCTTCGGTCTCGAGACTGGATAGCACTTTCCAGAACTTTGTATGCTAGGTTTCTTCATGTGCTAGAGGTATGAGCTAGATGCACCTCGATGTCTTGTGGGAATGTGGACAGGGATTCTCACTAGCTCTCAGGTGATATGGGTCAGGGGTGTTCCATTAGGACAGTGAGATGCAACTTTCCAGCTTGGCTCTTAGTTATGGCCAGTGACTTGTGAAAGCACTTCACTTCCAGCATCACGGTTTCACTTTGGTGAATTTAGGCTAATGAATGTATTGCTGTCTTGACTTGGAGGATGGATGAGGATGGAGACCAGGCCTTAAAGTTCTCCAAGAAGGGGCTGGCACAGATTGAGTACTCAACCTTGGGAGCTCTTATTTACTGTCTTCTGAACAGTCCCAGAACTTTTTCATTCCCGTGACTTGCTCCACATGCATATTACCTTCTTTGGAGGTGCTATGCCCTGCTAAGTAGAAGGTGTGAGCATGCCCTTTACCTGTGCTTTTCTCAAGCATTATACTTTCATGATTCTTACCACTAGCCTATCAACCTCACTGCTGTCAAGTCATTCTGACTTACAGAGAACCATTAGGATAGAGTAGAACTGTCCTATAGGATTTTTGACGCTGTAAATCTTTATATAATCCTTCTCTTGCTTCCAAGGAGCAGTTGGTGAGTTTGAACTGCTGACCTTGAAATTAGCAACCAAATATTTAACCACTATCCCACCAGGGCTTCTTATCCTATTAAATACCATTTTAGAAATGATAGTATTTTAGGACTATTCAGATGAGTGAAATATCAATCAGAAACTGAAGGGCTTATCAGCGGGGGTCAGTCCTGGGCAGGGGGGAGGGTCATATTGGCTTAGATTTTGTGTAAGTGAGAAAAGCTAATAAACACTTAACTAAACAACTTCCATGTGGCAAAAAGTCCATTATAGTTAATAAGTGTCATTTTTGCTTGAGACTCATAATAGAGGCATGAATAAAAGTGCTCTCAGGAAATTCTGATGGCCTAGTGGTAAGAAGCTGTGCTTCAATCCTGAAGGCACACGGTTCGGATCCACCAGCTGCTCCATAGTAGTAAGATGAGCAGTCTCCTCCTGTGCAATTGATTGCTTCTGAAAATCTGCTGGAGGGTCAGGTATGGGTCGGTTCCAATTCGATGGCCAACAACAACATCTGTTTGCTGCTGGGGCTCAGGTGCCACCTTCTCAAAGAAGCCCCCTTCTCCTCCCAGATGGAGAAGGGGAATTCCTCCGAACACTCTATGAAATCACTTACCACACGGGGTTGTCATTATCTGTCTTCTCTGTTTAAGTCCTTGTGAGCTGAGAACACATCTTCTCACTGGTCTGTTTTCCATCCCAGTGAAATACTTGGCGCAGAGCAGAAAGTATTTGTTGGAAGGAAGATGGTAGGTGGGGTGGGAGAGGGGGCAGGAAATGAGGGGAAGCACGGGGCCAGTGAAGAAGGAAGAAAGGAAGAGGGATGAAAGGGTCAAAGAGAAGGATGGAGGGAGACAAGAAAAGGATATGTTGTCACACCTCCTGGAGACACCCAGGAGCGACTTCTGGCCTGTGTACTGGTCTTCACTGTGTTGGCCTTTTTGCCCTCTGGAGTCAGGATCTGTTTCTTTGGAATACAGGGTGCTTTGGTGTTGTGTGGTTGGGAATTCAGGTTGACTTTCTGGGGCTTCCAGTATCCAAGGAATTGCTGCTCTCTAATAGGAGTAGATGATTTTACATTCTTTATTTCTAATCATCTATCTTTGTGTTCTTAGCTCTATCTATACTGAATTTACATCAGAATAAAGGCAAACAATAGCTGCCTCTCAAACAGAATTCCATTAGTGGATATTTTCTCCTTATGGAGACATAGTTATTTTCCATTAATGAACCAAACAAATCTCCTCCTATTAGACAATTCTTTTGTGGAGGGCTCAAGGAATTTTAAAAGCCAATATTTCTTCTCATAGTTTAGTAAGATACAAGTATGATGGAGAAAGCACATGTGAGTGGATGACAAGACCAGGGACACTGTAAGGCACTGCTGTGTGGAGATTCGAGATTCCATTAACCTGCCTTTGCTCTCCACTTGTCATCCTGGATGCCTCTATTGGGCAACCAAACTTTATAATATCAGGGCTGGGGATTTATGTATTGTTTTCCCAACCAAGTTAAGGAGTGACTGCATTTGTTGATAGAAAGGAATATGTCTAAAATCCCAAACTTGTGTTTATAGCCTATGGTGTGAGCTAGCTGGGAGCTGCAGGCCTGCCGTCGCCTCAGCCTTAACAGCATCTCTGCGTACTGAGCACAGGTCATCATGAAGTCAACTCTGACTCTGAATGCAGAGTGAACTGCATGCCATAGGATTGCCAACAACTGCATGCTCAGTTGATTACCAGTGTTTTTTTTTTTGTGAAATCTCCGCTTAGACTTGAACCTTCAATTTTTCTGTTAGCAGCTGGCATTTGTTAATTGTTTTCATTAGGGTTAACCTGAGAACAGGGCAAGAGTTTTCCATTTTTCTGGTGCCCACAAATAGCACATTCTTCTCACCTGCTGGAGTTTTTAAAGGAGGGGTACTTTTGCTCTTGCTATAGAACAAGAATTAAGAGGCTTCAGAAAATGCTGTAGGCAGAAACCTATAGAAAGGGACCTTTGCTCCATCCTTCTACCAAAGCTTCCTAGGGTGGGTACCACTAATAGACTCTCTAGGGGCTACAGTACCCTTGCTCTACTGCCTTGACTAGATTCAGACACTCCACTCCAAATCCCAAGGGCCCTGGACTTGGGCAAACTGTCTTTCCCTCCCCCCAACCCTGAGACTGGGGTATAGGGACCTGTCACCTGTTGGGGCAACTTTCTTCTGCTGATGAGGGGAGTATCAGGCTGACCCTGGATTATTCTGGGACATGTGTCAGAGGCTCTCAGCTTTGGGTTTCTAACACAAAACCTAGAGAAGGCACCACCAGGTGAAGAGAATGAGGAAGATATGTTGGGCAGGTGGTTTTCTGAGCTGAGTTCAGGAGAAGATTCAGACATGGAGAACTCAATGTGTTGTCCAGCTCCCTCTGGACGCAGGTCTGGAATCTCCGTGACACAAAGTCAGAAGCCTGGCAGATCTTCTGTGCCCATTGAAGGAGAAAGAATGGAGTTAGGACAGAACCACACCTGCAAACTGTTTTACTTTTGTAAAGACAACCTTTTCTTTATCAGAAAGTAATCTTCAGAAAAAGGTTTCTCCTGTAAAGAAAACCCATCCTGTTCAAATAGCCGTTTCAGCAGGGTGTTCCATTGGCTCGGTCAGTCTCAAGGCTGGCTTGGGTGAGAGACGCTGAGGACTGAAGAGAAGGGTTCCACATTGAACATGAGCTGGCCTGTCTGTGCTGTGGTTCTATACTGGAAGCTCCTTGTCCCACATGGTTTCTGGGTCAGTTGTTGTTATGTGCCTTCTCCCACCCTAGCAAGCCATTTCTGAGCACTTCAGGGGCACGCCCCCTGGGAGCCCTGATCTGGGATGGTGGCTGGAGCACAGAGATCCTATGACTCAGAGCAGACCTTGGTGTTAGAGGTAGTGTCCAGGAAGCAGGAAAGAAGACAACAGGAAATTGGGGGAGAGAAGGAAAGAAAGTGGAAGAGATTTAGAAAGGGCACAGAGAGATGCAAACTGCCTCAGCAGAGGACACATTCTTTAGCTTAGTTTTCTCAGAATCTCCATATCCATTGGATTTGGGGCATCTCCCATGGCTATGCATGTGGTGATCTCTGTGTGTGCACACATTCATGTGTACACAAGTGTATGTAGGTGAACACACATGCCTATGTGTGCACATGTGTGTGTGTGCGATTGTTCTGGGGAGGGAAAAGTTCTTCTGGGCTTATCTGGGGAAAGGGTTAGTTTTCCTTAAGTTTCAAGAAATGCCTTCCGTGGCAAAATCTTCTAAGTCATTGATGGCAATGATCTCTAGTCTTGGAGCATCTCTGTCCTCCTTTTCTGGGTTCTGGGGAAGCCCATCGAGGTGCTGGCCAGGGTCATGTTGAGTGGAGTCTCTGAAGACCTGAGAGGTATGCTGCAGACCAGCCTTGTGGGAGCCCTGGTGCCCAACAGTGGCCAGCTCGGTGGCAGTGGGAGGCCTCGGTCTCATGAAGGTGGGAGTAGAGAGCTGGGAGGTGCACCTCAGGGGTGTCAGGGCTGTCACAGGGAGGGGCCGGAAGCCAGGAAACAGCAGGAGGGAGTTAGGCAGTGCATCTGTTGGGAGTGACTCTGGGGAGTCCCCTGCTGAGGACGGGATGGGGACCTTGAGATAGCGGCCTGTGTCTGGGTCATAGAAGGTCTTGATTTTCACTTGGAGTGGTAAGTCAAAGACAAAGTACTTTCCAGACTGGGGGTCTTGGAGGACCTTCTGTGTGGTGGGATAAGGGAACAGAGGCTTGCCTGGCTGAAAAAACCCTGGTTGCCTTCTGCTGTGCTCCAAAAAGCTGGACACAGAGTGACGATGCATGGGAGGGGGCAGGGACCTGACTGAGGGGAGACTGAGTCGCCGGGGCACCTCCTCAGGGGACAGTGGCCTCTGCCCGGTGTGCTTTGAGTCCTCCGGCCAGGGCCTATCCTCCCAGGGTTCGTCCAGTCTCCCTCGCCCTTGATCTTTCTTCCTCCTCTTGCTGGCCAGTTTCTTTGCCCGCCTCAGGGCTTTTTCAGTTTTGGGGGGGACTGCAGGTGGCTTGCCCACTGGTCTATCTGGTCTCTCTGGGAAGCTTGCTGAAGCAGTGGCCATATCCTCAAGAGAGCCTCTTGGAGAGAGAGGTCTGAGGTTTTGTGCTGTTGGTTCAAGTTGAGGGTCAGAGGCCTCCTCACACCATAAGGCATGGGTCAGATCTTCTCGCCGGGTGACTGACCCAGGGCTGAGACGGGCCCAGGGTTCCTGTTGTGGTGAGCCCAAGTCACTGGGGGCCTGGGAGGCATCCTCCCAGACACTGCTGGTGGTGGGCGAGCATGCACTATCCCCCTCCAGGGACCTGGGGTTGGGCAAGGTCGTGAAGTCCCCAGGGCCCAGTCTTCTTGCCAGGGTCCCTGCTCCGGGTGGGGACAATAAGTTACTTTTGAAACTATGCATTGGCTCATCCCAACAGGTTCCCAGCAAGGGTGGAGGTGGCTCTTGTTCTCTGTTGTCTTCCAGTAAAGTGATCTTGGGGATGCGTTTGAGAGCATCCAGCCTCCCCTGGTCTGTGGAACTGTTACTGCTATTGCTCCTGACACCCACAGGGGCCATATCTGGGGGTGATCTCCCCCTATCACCCTCTACCAGCAGTGGAGGAGATGTGAGATATCTCTTCCCTGTTGGCTTTAAGCTTTCTGCCTTGGCTTCACTGGGTGCCTGGTTGGGGTCCTCCGGGTGCCTCCAGTGTGTGGCCCGAGTATTAAAAGGTTGGCAGTGGATACCAGGCATTCCCTGGCTCTCTGGGGAGTGGAGACCAGCATCCTTACCTGGCCTTAGGGACTCCTTGGTGGCCTCTTTTTGGTCACCAGTTGGGTCCTCTGAGGACACAGTCTTCAGGAGGGGCAGCATGATGGGTCTGATTACAGGGGTGGCTCTGAGAGTGTTGTCTTTAATCATAAATAATATGTGCTTGTTCAAAGTGGAAGATGGTGTCACAGAGGCATCTTTAGCACAGGAAGGGGTTGTGGCCTTACTTGCTTCAGCCCAAGGGTCTCTGAACTCGGCTTCTTCTGCGGCTGCCTGCTCTGATCGTCCCCCAGTCACACCCTGCCTGTCTCTGGGCAACCTGTCCCTCTCACTCTTCTCATCTCTGCACACATGCACATTGCTGGCAGCGTAGGATTGTTCTCCATCTTTCCCTCCTATTCTCTCCTTCTTGTCACTCTGACTGTCATCGGCATTCAAGTCATTCTTCCTGTCCTCCTGCTGGCTCTCGACACTCCACATTTTCTGCTGGTCCTCAAATGAGGCAAAAGATTGATCTGAAGAGCTTGTGCTGAATTTGGCTCTGCCTTGGAGGCCTGGCATGAAATCGGACTGTGCATCACTGTAGAACACATCTTCCTCCTCAGGTGAGGGCCTTGGGGAGGACTTCTGCTGGGTGTCTGCGTTCCCCTGGCCTGCCTCCCGCTCGGGCTCTGTGTCCTGGGAGACTGACCTGCAGAACCCATTCTGCAGCTGGTGAGCATACAGTGTCTCTGCAGCCTTCATGGCCTCCGGGTCTTGGCTGCAAAGCTTCAGAGAAAGGTGCTTCTTCAGGCCATGCTGGCTGGAGTCTGGGTCCCAGCATGGCAGCCTGGAGGGGTTGAGCTTTGTCTCTCCATCAGCACCACTCTTCTCATAGCCACCTGCCTCAGCCTCCCTGTTGACCCAGGAAGAGGTTTTGGAGGTAGCTGGAGGTGAGCTAAGAGATGGATAGTTGTCTGCAGGTGGCTCACTGGGGTTGGCTCTGGGATGCTTTGAGGTGCTGACACACAATGTTGTAGGGACAGTTGACATTCTCTCCTTAGAAAGCTGACTTTCAGGATGGTCCTCAAGTCCATTAGGTAAGTTGACTCCATTACTGACAGACTCTTGCTTACTGTCAGTCTTGTCTCTGGCCTTCTCATCAAGGCCTTTCAAGAGAGGGCTGGGACTGTAGGTGCTTTTCACCCGCTTGCGGACATCTTTGAGATTGAACAGCAGGCTAGGGACCTTGGATTTGTAACTGTCCTGGCACTGGCTTTCGCCTGGCTCCTTCTCTTGGTAGCCATTGGGCTGTCCTGGGGGAGATGCTGGCTGGCTGTTCAGAGTGTCCAGGACATGCTTGGTGGGGATGATGGGTGTCAAGAGCTTACTGATGTTAAAAGGAGGCATATAGTGTTTGCTGGAGTCCACAGGCAGTTCAGGGCCTTCAGTGGTAGGCACCAGTGCCTGTGGGCTCTGCTTTGTGTACCCTCTGCTCTTTTCCCCAGCAGGGTCCTGCTGGCTCTCTTTGCTTCCTTTGCTGGCCTTTGGTTTCCTCCATGGGTGCTGGGCTGGCTTACCTGGAGTGGCTGGCTGTGAGCTGGAAAGTTTTCCCTCCTCATTGAGCCCCTGGACCTCAAGGTCCCCTGAGTCCCAGGCTCCAGATGTAGAGAGAGCCCCAGTGGGCAGCCTGTTCTCTTCTTGACCACAGCCCACCCACTCATGGCTGGGAGAGACTTTGCACTCAGGTGGATGGGGTTCTCTTAGCAGGGGCATATCCTGGTATTGTTGGGGCCCTTTGCCATCTGAGCCTCCTTCAGCTGGGTCCTTTGTCCTCACCAGCCGTGGGTGATGGGTGCTCCATGACTCAAAGGCACTGTTCTCACTGTGAAGGAAGGTCCCCTTTGGAGCCCACTCCTTGTCTTTCCTGGGCTCACTTCTGCCTGCCTTGTGGGCTGGGGAGTGGAACTTGGACTCGAAGGAGTTAGGGGTATCTTCAGGGGCTGGAAGGAAGCTGCATGAGCTGTGGCAGGCTGTTTCAGGGTTCTGTGGGGACTCCTGGTCACCCTGTTTCCCGGCAGATGGACAGGTACTCTGGTGAGTGAGTTCAGCAGGCACCCTCCTGACTGTCAGAAAGGCTGAGTCAAAGCAGAAGTTGACACCACTGTCTGGTAGAGGAGCAAACTTGGGGGCTGTTTTCAGAATAGGTGATTTACTTGTGGGAGGTCTGCTATCACTTCGTTGGCTCTCTGATCTGTCAAAGGACTTGATTAGAGATGATACTTTGGAAAGGGGTTTATTGCTGCTCCTCAGGCCAGAAGCTGGCACTTCCAGTGTCCTCTGGGCTGGTGTGGATGGGGGGCTGCCCTTTGAGTACTTCTCCTCTCCTTGGACATACTTGGGTAGCTGCTGGAATGTGGCTGCCCAGCCAGTGTGCTCTTCACCCTGTGTGGGGAGCTGGCTCCAGAGGCCACTTTTCCTCTGTGTATGGCTCACAGTGCCCTGGTGCAGACTCCCCAGCACCTGGCAGGTGACATCTGGGGACTCACTGAAGGAAGTGTCCTCAGAGATGCACAGGCTGCGGAAGGCCCGGTCGGTGAGGCTGCTCACCTCACGGTCTGCGTCGTCCAGCAGACTGCCAATGCTTGAGGAGTCACTGAAGCCATCCATGCCCTTCTTGTTGCTCTGCATGACTCATCCACAGGGAAGACTGCCAGCTGACCAGTGATTACTTCAGCACCGCTTCTGCAGGTGTGGATGGGCGCTCTTCTTTCCAAAGCAGATCTCCCAGCTGACCAGATGAAATGCAAAGTGAGATATGTTTTCTCTGCAAAAAAAAAAGTACAGGGTATGAACATGACCTACTGCCCTGAAGTCAGTTTATGGCCCTATGATGGCTTACCTGATACTGTGATGTAGGAAATTCCATCACTAGTTGTGGTCACTCATGCTGTTTTCAGTAAAGTTCTAGACTAAGACCAGGAAGAAATACCTGGCAATTTATTGCTAAAAATTAACCACTGAAAACTTCATAAAACACAACTCAACATTGTATGATGGAGTTGCTAAAAGATGAGCATCATCGAGCATAGCAATGCTCTTGAAGCTTGCATGTTGTTGTTGTGTGCCATTGAGTTGGAATCGAATCATAGCAGACCCTCAGCAAGTTTTCAGAAGCAGTGAATGTCACAGGAGGAGATTGTCCATCTTTCTCCTATGGGGCAGCTAGTAGACTCAAACTGAATGTCTTTGGGTTGACAGAGCAATCCCTTACCACTAGGCCACCAGAGTTCCCAAAAGCTTCTGTTATACACCAGGCATCAAGCTACAACAACTAATGACTTAAACAGTACATGCTCTGTCCAGTGCATGCAGGGTGGAGGAGGGGACTATGCCAGAATTCAGACACATTGGCTTTGTGGAGAGGCCCTACCTAACTGTTCATATGATGTCCCAGAGTCCTAGCTGTCTTCTTCGAGGTACTGAGCATGGTCTAAAGCAAACTCCTTGCTTCCTGTCCTCTCATTAGACTAAATTCCAGAGCATAGTGCCCAGTGATGGCTATTCTTTCATCACTGCTCAACTCAGACCTTCAGGGGCAGCCCCAGGGGATAGCTCTTTATCCTGGACAACCAACTCTCTAGATTCCAATAGGGTTTGGCTAGAAAGAGGTACTGTGAGAGCCGGAATGGGTATGAATCTCCGTGACATCTCTCCTCTGCTTCCACCATGCCCTTATGAAAGTTCTGGAATCACCATAGTCCTCTGTGATGATGGCCTAGCAATTCCTCCTCCTTTGTCTCTAGAGGCTGTAAGGTTGATAGCTCCCCACTTTTTCTGAGTGACTCCACTTCCCTGTGGGGCCTATCAATTCTGCCTTCACGTCTGTACTTTGTGTTCACAGAAACTTCACTGATCTCAAGTCTCCTTTATAATTCTAAATAGTAGTAAAAGAGGATTACTGCATATTCAGAAAATAGTCTCAGTCCTTCTGCCTTGGGAAAAAGAGGCTCCTTACCATTAGGTTTATTTAGACACTTTCTCAATTGGTTCATCTGAAGTCAGAAGGGATGGCCATAAATTTGGCCTCATTCCTTCCTGCAGTTCATCCCTCTGTGTGAAAAGACACAGTGGTCAAGTACAGAGAAGCTTTCTGGATACTAGTTCTTGGGAAAGTCCATACCTGTTAGAGGAGTGGAGGATGTTGGGGCTTGTCTTGATGAGTTTGAGGATCTGAGGTTTTAATACATCTGTTCATGTTTCTATTTGGTGTTTTCATTGCCCAACTAGAATGAAAAAGAAAAATTACTTCAATGATGCCCTTGGCAATAAAGGGTCAAATACATGTGCTGTTCATGGAAGACCTTAATGATTAAATGAACAAATTCAAACAAGAGGAAATAAATGCACAAAAGAAGTGTCTTTACGTGTTAAAAATTAGCACTTACATTAGAACTGGTTTTAAACACAATGAATTTTTACTGAAAAAAATAAAATAGAGTTAATTTATATTATTTCCAACATTAATTAATATGTCCATGACCCAAAAGCAATCTTTAGAACCCTTTTGGAATACTCATATGAATGGTGGAGTTTTGAATTCTTTCTTGCAACTAGAATCTACTTGTTTTATAGTTTGTGAATATTGATGCTTGTTTATAGTTTTCTTTTGTGGTTATAGCAGTTGTTAGTTTGCTGTACTGGGAGCAACTTGCATGTTGCTGTGACACCAGGAGCTATGCCACTGATGTTTCAGATACCAGCAGGGTTCACCCAAAGTGAACAGGATTCAGTGGAGTTTCCAGACTAAGAAGCAGGATTGGCTATCCACTTCTGAAACAGCAGGCTCTTGAAATCCCTATGAATAACAGAGGAATATATTTACCTGAAATAGAGCCTCTCTTATTGACGGACTTAACAAAATGAGAAGAAACACCTGCAAACATGCATTAACAGTAGAAACATAAAATGTATGGATACATACATATAAATAAGAATTCAAGCACAGAAGTAGGAATCTAGGAAATTAGAAGTTGTAAAATAATTAAATAGAACCCCTAAATATCAACATCATTGTTGAGCTGAGATGGGCTGGTATTGGCAACTTTGAGTAGGATATATAATATACAATATATTATGCCAGAGATGCCTAATTGAGGAAGATTGGCATTAACTTCATAGTAAAAAAAATATTCAAGATCTAGCTTGAAATACAATGCTGTGAGTGATAGAATACTATCCATATACATAATCAAGGAAGATCTGTTAACACAACTATTATTCAAATATATACACCAACTATTAGAGCCAAAGACAAAGACTTTGAGGACTTCTACCAAATTTTGCAGAGAGCTCTGGTCCAGTGATAAAGAGATGCTGTGCTATAAACCTAAAGGCATGCAGTTTGAATCCACCAATTACTCTGAGGGAGAAAGAAGCTAAATCTCTCCTATGTTTGTAATTTACTGCTTCTGAAACTTGCTGGGGGGAGATGTGTGTCAACTACAAATCAATTTCAACTCAATGGTTAACAACAACATTAACAACAATAACCAGCAACTTTTGCAATCTGCAATTGATTGAAAATGTGATCAAAATTCATTACTAATAACTAGTGACTGGAATGTAAATGTTGGAAATAAAGAAGGACTGGGAGTTTGGGATATTCAGAGTTGGTGACAGAAATAAGATTGGAGATCACCTGACAGAATTTTGTAAAATCAAAGAATTGATGCAGAAACTCAAATACCAGCAATCAAAATAAGGCTAGTGGCTGACTGTTGAGCAGATCATAAATCACTCATGTGCAAGTTCAAATTGAAATTGAAGAAAAATACACAGGAACTTAATCAAACACGACATTGAGTTTAACCCACCTGAATTTTAAAACCATCTCAAAAAGAGAATAAATGTGTTTGAACACTAATATAAGGTCAGGTGAGTTGTGGGATGATGTCAAGGATATCAACAATGAAGAAAGCAAATGGCCATTACAAAGAGAAAAGACTAAAACAAGTGTTAGAAGAAACTCTGAAAATTGCACTAGAATGTAGAGAAGTAAAAAACAAAGGAGGAACTACTGAAATAAAATACATGAACAGAAGATTTCAAAGGGCAGTTAAAAAAGAAAAAGAAAGTGTTATAACAAAACATGCAAAGAGCTAGAGTTTAAAAAACAAGGAGTAAGAACAGAATTTATCAAACTGAAAGAACTGAAGAACAAATTCAAACCTCAAGTTCCAAAAGTGAAGAATTTTATGAGAAAAATCCTGAATGATCAAAAGAAAATAGAAGGAATAGTATTCTAATGTTAGCTTTTTTATTTTCGTTGGGTCTGTTGTGATGTTACCTGATTCATCTCTTATTCGGATTATTTG